ATTTCTTTAATGAGGTCTCGAAGAACAAAGATGATTCCTCATCTAGGATGCCATTCACCACACTACAGAAGATCCCTTCAAGACTTCCGTTAGGGGAGAGGACCTTGCATTAGTGCTCTGCTTTGGTGTAAATTCTGCTCATTTTACCTAGCTGAAAGAAGTGTTTGCTAAGCTATAATACAAAGAAGTTAGCTGCATTAGTTTGAAGTCAGGCAGAAGGCAGAGCAGGGTGGACATTAGGCTTATGACAGATGTTACGCTGAACACACAATTAACTTGTTAGTTGTGTCTTGAAGTGTAACCCAGCCAGATGTTCAAGTGATTAATGGTGCAATAAAACAGGAAACCAGCCACAAAGTTCTTACACAAAGTATGTGCAACAATTCTGTGGCTGGTTGCTATTGCAGTATTGCCAACTCTCATGATGTTTGGCATTGTCCTTAAAGACTATGCTTTGGAAATGTAAAACCTTAGCTCTGTCTCCCGAAGTGTAGACTTTAAGAACAACACCAAAAATCATGAGAGTTGGCAATACTGCCATTGTGCCTTAAATTCAAAATGTAGCCAGACGGGTACCAATCTGCCAACCATCAACTATTCATCAGTGGCTCTGGGGGCTGCACAGGAGCTTAAACTGGCCAGAGGTCTCAGGAGCCAGCCAACAGTCAGCTGGTTGTCAGGAACCTTGCCAGTGCAGGGGGATCTGCGCTGGCAAGTGTGACACATTAGGATCTGATCCCTAATACCAAAATCATGCCTTCTGCCATGCACATGTGGCATGGCAGGAGGTGCAATTTTGGGGATCGCTAATTAGATCCCATCATGCCTTCAAATGAATATCTGTCAGTGGGCTTAGAAACTGGGACTGCTTGCAAACATTAGAAAAAGCCAAAATGGTGCTTTATTTTAAACTTGGTGTGTTCCCGTGCTGAGCCCCATGCATGCCCAAAAGAGGCAGCAGCACACCCAACATCTGTAAAGATCAGGCATTTTAGTAAGGCTTTTTTGGCACTTTTATCTAATAGCTGATTGAATCAGCTTTAGCTAAAAGCCCCCAAAAGCCCTGCTATATAGATGCTGCAGAGCTGGGTCCAGGTAATGTTCTG